CATACAAGTAAAGAAAGGCACTTTCTACATTTCTTTCCTCGCTTCTTTGAGGAGATGCTAGGAGCCAACTCAAGAATTTTCTAGAGAGACAGTATGTAACATAACACATTTATCCTTACCAGATTTTACTTTGCTTCATTACTCAATTATTTTCACTTGGTTAATTTATAAGGCTATATTAAACCAAGGCCCTATTAAAACCATTTTTCTTTGAGATGTTATTACTCTTTCACATCCACACTAGCTTTTCCTTATATGGAAAGAAAAAAATGCAAATAGGCCAGGGGTGTCAAACTCATTTTCACCAGGCGCCACATCAGCCTCGAGGTTGCCTTCAAAGGGCCAAATGTAATTTTAGGGCTATGTAAATGTAACTGTTCCCTAACGGGTGAGGGAGAACTTGGCGCTGCCACCCCCTAGAAACAAGGTGCCAGTCGGATAGAACGAGGTGGCGGGAGGAGAGCGGATTGGACTGCGGGCCTTGTGTTTTGCCACTTGTGAAATAGGCAATACAAATATCCCTCCTCATTTAATTATCTGTTCATTTTTTTTAACAAACATTTTATTTATTTATTTTTAGAGAGAGGAGAAGGAAGAGAGAGAAACGTTAATGCGTGGTTGCCTCTCGCTCACGGCCTACTGGGGACCCTGTCAGTAGGCAGAGACTACTGGATTCCCTAACTGGGAATCCATCCAGTGACCGTTTCCTTCGCAGCCAGCACTCAATCCATGGAGCCACGCCAGCCAGGGCAAGTTACTCATTCACTTAAATACATATGCTATTATCTTTCTGGGGAGACAATAAAAGGACTAAAGTTAATCCTCTTAAATGTGGGTCCAACCTTTACTGTGTCTTTGGAATAATTTCAATTCTGTGATATAGCACCTGCCTCATATTTTCAACAATTCATTAGACTTTGCTTTGAGGAAAATGTGCCCCTTGGAAAAGTGTGGTGTACGTAACCGATTTCACTAGAGCTTTACCCGTGCTCCCTCTTTGCGTCTGTGACCACAGCACTGCTTCCCAGACCTGGGTAGGGCTTTCAACTGGACTGAGCCCCAGACTCCAGCCCTCACTCCTTGAGATCTAGGCGGTGGCCTGTGTGGGGCCGGCCGCCCAGCCCTTGGAGTGTGCGGACTGAGTCTGCAAGCCCCAGCAGCAGAGCCCGCGTCCTGGCCGCCGAGATACAGACTCCGCGGGTCAGTTTAATAGGCCCGGCACCCCGCCGCTCCCTAGACACGGTCTAGAATCTCTCTGTCCAGAGGCCACGGGCGGCCACTGCTGCCCGGCCAGAAGCCACAGCCGTTCGGCGGACTTGATTTGCACCTCTGCAGCCGTGGCTGCAAATGCCGGGTCGGAGGTTGTTGAGCGCCGGGGATCTGGGACAAGCGGCTCGAGCACCCACGCGGCTGCCAGGCGAGCGAGCACCGGGCTGCCAGGGGAGCCCAGTCTGGCCTCCGCCAAGTGTGGATCTACAGACAGAGTTAGCGGAGCGGAGCCAGCCTTTAGCCGGGCTACAATCCTGCGGCCCTTCCTGGTGGCCAGGGTCCACCCAGGGACAGAGCCGGGGAAGGATAAAGCAGCAGCTCAAGGTGCGCTCTCTCCGCCACCTCCGGGCTTCGCGCTGTCCCCCAGCACGCAGGGGCTGGCTGGGCTGCGGGGGTTTCTGTGGGTTCCGGTCGGAATGACCCGAAGGGCCTTTGTCCCCAGGGATCCGTCATCTGCAAACGCCGCTCTGGATGCATCCCTGACACGGCCCCCGGCTCTGTTAGCAGGCACAAACCAGCTACATTCCTGCCCCTGGTAGGCCCTGCTATTTCAAGAATTCTAGGGGGAAGAATGTGCACTGGCCAGTACGCGTCTGTGCAGCTCAGGGAACTTGTTAAGCCAGGGGGCACGCGCGGCCCGAATGCAGAGACATTTGCCCCCCTGGGTATTCCCAACCTTAGTGAAAGCAGGGGTGTAGTAGAGGTCTGTCTCTCTCTCCCAGATTTTACTCTGAAATCAGGGCTCTTGGTGAAGTGATGTGGTTATATCAAGTCAGTAGCAGTCACACTGTGTCCGAAATGGGTACGGGCACCAGCCGCACAGAGCTTCCCTGAGGCGCAGAGTCTCTTGGCCCCGGGGTTTATTCTTGTTTTCCGGATAGAATGGGCCTCCGAATTCCCTCAGGAACGCCTCAGTAAGTATCTACGTAATGACTCTCATTAACTGGCAGCTTGGGGCTTAGGTACAAAAAGTGATGTGTACCTGTTGGTAGGCCTTTTCAATGAGTAATAATGATTATTTCTGAACTCTCCAAGACAATGCCAACCTGTCAAGGGATAGTATATCCAATCCTCGTTTAATTAAAAACTTGCACTTCTACAGCAATTTGGTGGACATTATAATTAGCACCTTAGAATACTTTGATGTTCTGCATTTAATCTATGTGTTTTCTTAATACAACACTTACATTATAGGTATTGCCATTGCAGGTCACTCTTCCACAAAACTGTACATTTCCTCAAAGAAGTGATAGTTTCTCTTCACCTTTGATTTTTTCACCAAGCAATGTCTGCACAGAAGTACTCAATAAATAATTATTAAATAATTACCCAATTCACTCTTAGTTCTTACATTTCCACACTCTGAAACAGAGGACTAAGGGAACAGGAAGCTAGGTCCTTTTTTTTTTTCAGGGATATTTGTTTATTTATTATTTTAAAATAGCTGTTCAAGTATAGTTGTCTCCATTTCCCCCCACCATCCTCCCCTAACCAACCCCCAAGGAAGATAAGTCTTAAAGATACCGAATAAGAATGGAAGACTTAGTCATCTATGCTGAGCGACATTTGCAAGACAGTAATAGTGCTCAGAATCAATTTGCTAATCAAATCTCCTCGGTTTTAGGACTATCATGGGCAGGAGGTAGGAATGACCTACATTCTCAGGCTATGTTTTAAGCATTAATATTTCATATGTTTTCCTTTCTTTTCTCTTTTGTTCCTTTCTATAAATTAGGTGTGATGTAAGCCATTATACTTGAAGTAAAAATGTACTTTCCTAACCTTTGATATCTTATCTGTCCTTGGATTTACTGGTACATTTGGCTAATCCCATATTTCTCACTTTTTATATTTTTACTGGCATCCTAAGATAACATAAATTGGAGAATCCTGATTTGGATATCTAAAGTACTTGGGAAAGTGAGCAGCAAGTATTAAAAATCCATTAGCTGTTTTAATTTAGCCATTAGCCTTTTCAGCTCTGTGATACTTTTTTAAAAAAAGATTTTATTATACGTTTATAGAGAGAAGGGAGGGAGAAAGAGATGGAGAGAAACATCAGTGTGCGGTTGGTTGCCTCTCACATGCCCCCACATGGGGACCTGGCCCACCCTGGAGGCATGTGCCCTGACTGGGAATCAAACAGGCAACATTTCAGTTTGCAGGCGGGCACTCAGTCTACTAATCCACACCAGCCAGGTCTCAGTGGTACTTTTATATCCTTGTACTTTAGCTTTGAATGTTCTCTTCAGCTTCTTCCATGAGTAAATATGTGAAAAAACCTGCCTTGTTAATATGTAGTATGAGCACTCATGTTGTACTAATATTTTAGCTGATAACTGGTTTTCATAATGGGTTCAGTTTGTGTCCACTCACCTTACATAATGGCACTTCAAAAACAACCCACCACTGATGCATTACAAAACATTCATTCTGGACAACATACTACCTAGAACACTTTCTATTAATACAAGAAAGCTCTTAAAAAGGATGCTGCACACAGTTGGAATTCTTTTTATCTTAAATGCCTGTGCTAGAAAAATATGCTTCTCTTGAAGTATGACAGTGAAAAGACTAGATGTCTCTTCAATATCATTATTTCTGAATTTCTGTAGACCATTCAGTTGTAAGAAAGATAAGCCTCTTGCCTTATTATGTGCTTACTAACAACGTATTTGTTTTATTCTGAACTTTAGGGTTAACCACTTGAATTTTTGTAGTACCTCTTCCACTGTTTTGTTCAAGTGCCAAGTATTCATACTTTCCAGCTTGTAAATAAAATATAGTTCAGAATGCTAGCTCTATTTGCAGCCCAGGAAAAAGTACTGTTGAATTTATAATTCTGGATGATATTCTTTTATTTTAGCATCAGTTTCTCCTCCTCCATTGTAATTTTTAATGGAGTCCTTACTGCTGGTTTTTTTTTTCCCTTTCTTGACAACTACTTTCTTTTTAAGTCCTTTCATATATTTCAGTGATGATTTCTGTAGTGTGTAGGAGAATCTTAAATCACAGCGAAATGGATGAGTCAGCTATCACTTATTCTAGAAATTCTTTTGTGGTTAAAGTCCTCATGTTACAATGTGCACAATTTTAATCTCTAATTTTTCAAGCTATGCTTTTCAGGAGTTTGCTCCGCTCTACCGAAGAGGATTTGAACTTCATTCTGTTCTGACGCAACTGTTATTTGTCTTTGTTGCCTCCACCTCCTAGAAATCGCGTTTCAGGGGAAAGGCGTTTTGGGACTGAAGAAGAGAGTGGAGCGAGAGCTGGTACTTCAGACACTAGATTCCTCCTCCCCAGCCTGGTGAGAAGCCAAGCAAATTTGACAATTCATACTCTCGCTTTGGTTCTCACGCTTAAGGTCCATGGGTAGGTATTTTATTTTCTCTTTCTTCCCGTCCCTGGCTTGCCTACAGGCCAACTTCGAATGCAATCACTGCCCGAGACGAACCACACTGGTCCTCTTGGGGAAGTGGGGCATATATACGTGGGAGACTCCCGGGAGTGGGAAAAGCCACGCCGGGATCAGGACGCTCTAAAGGGCAGCCCCTCTCCAGGATTTTCCCTCGATCGAGGAGCCCACGTGACCGAGACGAGGCCTGAGCGGCCCGCCCCTTTGGGTCTCTGCTGCCCACTTCCCGCCCGGGGAACGTAAACCGCGGTTTTCCGCACCGCCCCAGCCCCGCCCTCCTTCTTTCCTCTACCCTTCACTTCCCCCCAAGCTCCCTCGCGCCATTCTCCCCACCGCGCCCCTCGTTCTCCCCAACGGGCCCTTTGTACGTGCTCGGCGGCGTGCAAACGCGCTCGGCACGTGACCCCTCCGAACGTGGCATTGTGTTATCACGTGACCCAGGTGCGTACGCGACGGAGCGGGGTGTGAAGATGGCGGACGAAGAGGCCGAGCAGGAGAGGTTGAGTCGCGGCGGAGGCGGCTGCGTCGCGGAACTGCAGCGTTTGGGAGAGCGCCTCCAAGAGCTGGAGCGACAGCTGCGGGAGAGACAGGTGCCGTCCGTGGAAGCGGCCACAGAATACTGTCAGCAGCTGTGCCAGGTGAGAGTGCCTGGGGGTCCCCTCCCCCTTCCCCCCAGCTAGAAGGAGAAGAGGGCGAGGGAGCGCCTGGTGGCCGAGCGTTGGTCCTTTCTGCCTTGTAGTCATTGTAGCCGCTGTCGGAGTGGAAGCGAGGACTACAGGGAAGGCGTCTTTGTGTGGATGCCGTTGTGACTGCTGTAGTCTGCAGCTCCCGGCTGGGGGAAGGGAGTTGTGGTCTGGGCGGAAAATCCCCCTCCCCTTTCCTTCCCCGAACTCGGATTTTGCGGTCCCCGAGGCTCAAGAGATATAGACGGAGAGGACTGGAGCCCTCTCTGCCGCAGGGAGAGGGTAGCGGCGGAATGGAGGCCAGGTCCCCGTCTTCCTCCTCCTCATTGTGCACTGGGGATTACCGCGCCCCCCGCCTCTGCGCTTCTGTCTCCCACTCCTACGGGCCTCCGCCCCCTCGGGTTTATTTCTTTGCTTCTACTCCAGCTTTCATCTGTCCCGCCCTCGGCCCGGTCCTCGCTGTCTGCGGGCCTTTGTTGTTCGAGTTTCGCCTTGGTACTGAAGGGGCCTTTGTTGATGTTCGGAGGAGCAGTCCTTGCCGACCCCTTCTTGCTGGGGCGAGAGGTTGGGGTGAGGGGCGTGGAGGTTGTGTCTTTCTGCCTTCGCTTGATGCATCACTTTCATGGTAAAGGTTGCTCTCCGCTAGAGAGGAGGTGTCTCTCTGTATTCTGTACTCGAACGTCCCTGTGGGTCGGCTTTTCCACAGTCCACTTGTCTTTTGCTTTCACCCTTCGAGTAGTACGGTTGCTTCTGCCCTACCTTACCCCCCCTCCCCGCCCCCATCTCTTCACGCCCCTATTACTTTGAAACTGAGAGGACTGAGGTTCTTGTGAACCTGTGCTCTGGTCCATTCCAGACCTTTCCTTTTCTTGCACAAGGACACTGCTTTCCAGTAATTGCATTCTAACCAGGATGTAGAATGTTAACATTCTGGTAGAAATCTGAGTTTGTGGGTTTACATTTGGACTTGATTACAAAACTTCCAGTTATGTCTGAAATTTCAAGGAGTTGCTGCTGGTTATGGTGAAGATTTTGGTTAGGTTGCCTTGAGGAAAAAGACACGATTTATACAGGTCACCTTTAGAGTTAGCTTGTGAATACATCATAAAGAAGTTGTTTTGGAAAGATGCTGAATTTAAGGTGGAACAATGGTGGACCAGTTTCGCAATTCAGAGTAGATTACATTTCACTTAATTCTTAGCCTCTCAAGTATTAAAATCTTTGCCTGGTAAGATCAGGAATACTTGATACCAAACAAAAAGTTCACCATTGCTGTATGTACATTATTGTGACTAATTACTTGCTGGTGGTTCATTATCTTGAAAAAAACAACAACAAAACCAAACAAACGAAACTTTGTGTGATAAGTGGCTTGTTTAGGAGGATGTGTATATAGGCAGTGAGAAAGTCTTCCTAGGGTAACTGTGGTAAATACCTGTGGCAAAATTAGAGATCCTGTCATTCTTTTGAATTCTTGTTTCAGAGAATTGTTGGAATTTTCCAATTTCTGACAGTACCCGCTATTCTTAATTGGTCTTTTAGATATAAAGACTTATTTTAGATATAAAAATATACTTCAGTAAGATGCCCATAAAAGGAAGTCTTTCATTTATAAGTTAGGTCAGCTTTTTTAATCAGTGAAAAGTGTTAAAAATCTCGCTTTGCTGAAAGACTTTTTTTCCCAAGATAACAGTGCCCACTGATGGGTTTAAGGCTAATTATTCTAAATACTCTTGGCCAGCAGTATTTATAAGCAGGATTAGTAATTCTGGGAAAATGGAACCTTATGCAAGTTGAACTTTTTAAGGGTGTGCAACGTTATAGAGCTATCACTTAAAAAACCTTGAAAATTGATGAAACAGCATTCTTTTTATCACTATGAAGGTAATTTCCTTATTAGTTTTAAGTGATTAGTCTTACAACACATAAATTGTTTTTATTAACCAGTGCTACATGAAACACTAATAAAACAAATGCTGGGTTTGTGGACTTGAAAAATAATGAAAGATTTCATGTACCAAAATCCCACAATAATTTAAATGCATTTGAAAGTGGTCTCCACTATTTAAATAGGTACTGAGTGTATTTGATGTTTGATTCCCCTCTAGAACATTTTGTATAATTTTTAAAAAGTAACCTATTTGTGTTAGTGATCTTGTCAAGTGGGAGTAACTTGAAACATAATTGTATTTTAAAAAATATTTCTTAGCCATTACTCCTAACCTTTTAATGAGTTGAGCAAAGTAGTGGTTAACAATTATAGAATTTATTGGAGCAGTTTAAAAGCAGTACTAGACATTGTCTTGGTTTCTAACCCTAAGATTATCATTTAACATTTCTGTCAGAGCTTTTACTGTAAAACTGGGATATTCACAATACTTCAAGAAGGCAAAGATGAAAGGATACACATTTGTCTGAGATAGTGGGTTTCAGATTTAATTTTCTGTAAGTGTTGGTGTTTCAAGCTTGCGTAATCCTCTCTGTTGCATTTATTTTAAAATGAATTAAGTTTATGTTTTGAATTTGTACCTCAGCAAAAGGTGAGTTACTGAAGAATATAGTGAAACCTGCAAGTTTAGAAGTTGCACAGGCTTTTTAGTTTATTGATTTTCTTTCTTTTTGAGTAAGTCAGGATAATAACAGGTTTCTCAAATTCTAAAAAGTAAAATAGCAACGAAAGATACTAAGTTTATCTTAGTGTTATAAGTATTGTTTGCTTTTTATATTGGGTTGCTTCCTGGAAGCATGCCCCACTTATTTACATCAACATTTGCTTAAAGTTTAGTTGGGAGGAGAGGAAGGTAGTAAAAATTGGGCATATTGAGAGTGGCTGTCAAAAAATCTTAAAATTTCCTCATATCTTTCTTTATAAGCTAGCTCTAATCTGGGTAATGTAGTTGACTCATTAGTTTTCTTAAAATAATTTCTTGCATTGGTTTCTGGATCATTACTATATATAGAAATTGATTATAGTTGGAACTTCTTGGACTATTTATTAGATTAAGCCAGTATTCATTCACTCATGCATTGTTATTGAATACCTGTGTTAGGGGCCAGGCAACCGTGATCATGGTATCCCTGGCTACCAGGAGCCTATATTCACAGGAGGGAAAGTAGACAGATAATGATAATTAACTGTGATTTATATCTTTTATTTCTGAGATGGGTGCAGTACAGTGGAATATTATTTTTTGGAGGAATTTAAAAAGAGCATTCTAACAATTGTTCTAAAATAATTTTTAAATAATTATTAACTTAAAAGTTCAACTATTGTAATAGTTGAAGAAGGATATTTTGAGGGGCTTGATATTTGTTGATAGTATTATGTAGTGGGATGGATGAGTAGTTAATTAATATGAGATATGACTTTTACTGGTCATTTTTCTTCTCATGGCTGATCATTATTTTTAAAAGGTTGACTTGTAGTTGTGAAAAAGTGTGTGTGTGTGTTTCACACACACACACACTTTTTATACCTTAGTTCAATAAGCAGTGTTTCTCAACTAACTGAGCACAGTACTTTTTCTTCCTGCATTTCTTTTTTTGGAGGGAATTTGGAAGTAAGTGGGGTCAGTTGTTTGGTCATTGCAGTCACTGGGGATGTGATACTGGCATGTAGTGCCAATGGGGCATGCATGGATGTTAAATTTTCTTAAGTGAACAAGACAGTTCACGCCACTGAAATTCATCCCTCTCTCTAAATACCCACAATGCTCTTTTGAGAAACTGTGAACAGAATGAAAAAGAATATATGAAGATTTTTTAAAAATCATGTTCTTTTTATGTTACGATAATATAGTTATATTAAGAAATGTAGTTAATCTGGAACAGGTCCAGGTAAGTGCTGTTCAACTATATTTTAATTTATAATGAGCTTACAAGACCAAGAAAATTAATACTTCCTTAGCAGGAATTACAAGCAATTATTTAAAAAATTACTGAAACAACTCACTTTTACTAGGTTAAAGAGGGTAGCAAATTCAACATACTTAATTGTCCTGACTTAAACAGACATTTGACCTTTTGACGTAACTTAATCCGTACTTTTAGGAAGGCATTTAATGCAGGAACTAAGTTTAGATGTTAGCAAGGGATATAAGATACGGGAGAAGCCAGTAAGATGTACAAGATCTGTCTTGAAAAAGTCCAGCCATTGTTAATATAAGGAGGTTTGCATGACATGGATGAAACCTGGCAGCCAAGGAGAGTGGACTGAAATGTGTATGTGTGAGCAGTGACTTCAGTGCATGTCTTAGTGGGGATGGTAGCAGCCCCCATTGAGTGAACATGTGTGCTGTGTGGTTGTCACACTCAAAGTGTCTGAATGAGTAGAGCAACAAATCTCCATCAAATTTTGTGTGAAGCTTAAACATTCCTCCTAGGAAACTATTCAGATGATTCAGAAGGCTGCAGCTATGGGCAACTAATGATTGGTAGCTTCATCAGGACAGTGCATTGGCTCGTGCATCACGTGTGGTACAAAGTTTTTGCATGAAATGTCAAATGACCCAGGTGACTCAGCCCCCTACAGTCCAGGTTTGGCACCCTTCAACTTCTGGCTTTTCACAGAGCTAAATGAAATGAAAACTAAATGCAAATGAAAAGTGCTTTGAAAGGGAAGGTATTTCAGACTGTCCATGAGGTTCAGGAAGATACAATGGGGCAGGTGATGGTGATACCAACAAAGGATTTTGCAGTGTTTTGAACAGTGGAAGAGACACTGGGAGAATTGTGTGAGGTCCCAAGATGCCTACTTTGAAGGGGACTGAGGCATCATTGCCCTGTGTACAATGTTTCTGGTATCATCTTCAGTAAATGTCTCTTTCATATTACACGGCTGGATATTTCCTGGACAGATCTCGTAAACTAATAAGGTAAAATTTAAATACTACTTAAGGATGACAGTTGAAGAGATGTCAAAAGATAGTGTCTTGTTAAATAACACATTTGCTTTA